TAAATTACTTGAGTACATATGAATCACTATATTGATTAAAAAAAATTGTGGGTAATGTAATTTTTATAATTTGGAGGGATCATGGTAAAATAATTTACTTGAAAACTTTATAATTATTATTATTATTATTATTATTTTTAGTATTATTATTATTATAATAATTATTATTATTACTATTCTTATTTGATTTTAAAGTTTTTTTACTATACTATTAAAACTATTTACTAATTGGTTCTAAAGAAAATTGTTTCATGAAATACAAAATTAAAATAATAATAATAATAATAATAATAATAATAATAATAATAATAATATCATTCATAAAACCTAATTAAGTGTAATTATGTATTTATAAAACCTAATTAATAAAACCTCATTTATTTTTCCTCCAAAAGATGTTACAAAATTTGTCATTCATATTTTGCCTTTCACATTAATACACCCTATTAAGTGTAATCATGTAATTTTTTGCTATTATATTATATAATAGTTAATGCTATTACCAACTCATAATATTTCACACTAAACATAAATTACATAAGTATAAACAATTTTATTGTTTCAAGATATTATTATTGTTATCATTATTATTATTATTTTATTATTATTATTATTATTATTATTATTATTATTATTATTATTATTATTATTATTATTATTATTATTATTATAGTAGTTAATGCTATTTTTTGCTATTATATTATATAATAGTTAATGCTATTAATTTTTTTACACTTAATATGGGTGTATTGATGTGAAAGGCAAAATATGAATGACAAATTTTGTAACTTATTTTGGAGGAAAAATAAATGAGGTTTTATTAATTAGGTTTTATTTATGAGGTTTTATTTAATGATTAGCTAGCAATTATATATATATATAGATATGTATATTAGTGAAATATACTAACTTTATGTAATACATATACATATATATATTGATATTATTATATACCTACCTTTCTGACCGGGTAGAGCGCTCTTGCTGATAACATGTTATGAAATGCGATGAAAATAAAGAACACAATGTAAAAACCGGATATAAATCAAACTTTTCTTTCTTTCTTCTCCACTTTCCGTCACTCAAAAATGCACTTAAATGCACTACATTTGTTGCCTTTTTATAGGCAAATTTGGTACACACTTTAATACATATACTAATACTAATATAATAATGAAAGTGATAATGTTATTATTAGTGGTTAATTCCACATATATTTACAATAGTACAATAACCAGATTTCCTTATTTGAAGCGAAAGAACTAATGGGCCTCACCATCTTTGGGCCCCAGCCCATAAAATCAATTCAAGTTTAGAAATGGTGCCCTTATTTCTTATTTATTTCGGTCTCTTCCGTCAACCCTACGCTACCTATGCTCATTTTAGTCACCACAACCCGGGAAGTTTCTCCATCTCAGCGCAGGTACGTAGCTACTGCACAATCTCGATCTTCATGTCCATAGACATCTCTATCTGTCTGTACATGGAAATGCTTACATTTTCGCTACTTCTTTGTTTATTTGATTTATGTGAGCTGATGATCTCGTACGGTCTTTGGTTTTTTCTGTTACTGTTTGAGTTGAAGCTATATCTCAGCCAAGAACTTTGCGATTATCCTTCGTGTTGCTTTTTCTGCCGCCTTATGGTGTTAGCATGTTGGTTCCGATGACTTCTGCTTGGTTCGATTTTTCCTTCATTTTATTTATCTGCTCTATTTTGAGGCGCCTTGTGGATTTCTGACACTACTTTATCATGTATTGGTGCTTAGTGCAGGAGTTTGTTTTTACTCAGTGTAGTATTTTGGTTTCTTTCACATAGCTTGATATTGTCTGGTTCTGTGTTGAAAAATCTACGTGCTGTTATGGTTGTTTTATCAGATGAGTACCCCCCTTGTTCAATTTATTGAGACTGTGTTGTATTACTTAATGAATTTACTCATGGATTGTTGATTTTGTCTGTAGAACTCGTGCTTAACAAAATCTGGAGGAGTTGCTTTGAAACTGTGTCATGTAGCATCTGCATGAATTTTGTTTATGGTTTTCGCGCATAGTGCTTGCAACAACTATGAGTTTGATTCCTTTCCGTTGGCGAGGCGTTGGACACTGATATTTAATCTTTATTAGCCTATTACTGGAAGAGGCGCATTGTCAGAGTTGAACTAGAAGCATAATTTTATCTGTAGTATATGACTGAACACTCATTCACTGATTTCCTAGTTGTTGTTTTGTTAGCGGTCTTTTGAATGATCGTCATAAATCCTTTCCATGTAATGTAGTCCATCTTTAATTTATATGGTATTTCTCTTCATTTTCGGGTGGTTGTAGTCGAGCTTGCTCAATAAGAGGCATCTGCTCTTTGGACTTTTGAAGAGGCTGCTTCTTGAATAATTACATTTGTTTTCCTATCATCAACCATTGCTTTGTACACTGCCATTAGTTGGTGCTGTATTGCTTTTTACTTGTCTTTAGGACCCTGTGGACGTATATTCCTTCTGAAGTAGTACAACTTGCAAAAACACGGATTCATATATGTCTCCTATTCTCAAGGAATGTTTTTCTTGTTCACTATATATGCCTATTTTTTGCAGCTAATGTCAGATAAGTTTCTCTAGCAGACAAATTGGTACTATGTTTCTTCATTTCAAACACACTACTAGGATTTATAACTCTCGCCTTGAATCTTATGCTTTTTCCTTTTGAGATTCTTTGATGAGGCTTCATTTTGCTGATAATGTGCGATAATACTAGATACAGAAGTTTGGGCTTAATGGAAGGTTAGAAAACTGAACATGGTATATGCTAATGTCGCAGGTGTATCTGTAACAGATAAATTTCATTCTATGTCATTACTTTCAGCATATGGAGTTACTTTCATTGCTTGAGATTATCCATGTATTTGGAGGAAGAAAATGAACGTGTTTGGATAGTTTGAGAGCCATTATGATGTGAAAGTCCTGAAGAGTACTCAACTGGTAGTCAAAGCTAGATTGTTGTTTTGTTCCAGAATTCAGTCACTTTGCTAATTTGCAAGTGGCATAGAATTTGCTCACTTATGTGTGAATCAACAGCAATTACGTTAACTGCAGTTACACAGCCACATTTTATATGGTTAGCAGGAAACACTTGTGTCACTATGGCATCGAGGATCGCTGCTAGATATATCTCGCGCAGGTTCTCAAGCGGTGGAAAAGTCCTCAGTGAGGAGGAGAAGGCTGCAGAAAATATATATATTAAGGTAGTAAATTCAAGGTTGTGGCACAATATATAATCAAATTTTGACAACCTACCGTATTGTGGTGCTCTCTGCATGGCAAGTTGTTTTGCTTGGTCCTCTATCTGAACATGAACATATGGAAAATTGTTAATCATTTTTGAAGCTTTATTATTCCCTTAACATACTTTCTAACCTTAAACCAAGGGCATTTCATGATTTTTTTATTTCAAGTATATGATGACCTAGCATCCTTTTTTTTTGTTGTATGTTGGAGTTTATACTTAATCTAGTTCGCTAACTACAGGATACTTTAGGGAGTTATTACTGCTAAATTTCCTGACACATAACTCATCAGTGGTTACTTGTCAATTTGAGTCATTATAGAACTGCTTCTTTGTTTAGTTCTTTGACAAGTGCATGTCTTTTGTTGAAAATTTTGGCAGAAAATGGAAAAAGAGAAGTTGGAGAAGCTCGCCCGTAAGGTACATAATCTGTAAACCCCATTCCGTTTGCTCTATTAAAAGAAGTGAACCGAATTTGCATGCATGCGTATGTGTGTGTTTCTGGTTTTTCATTGTATTGAATAATACCATATCATAACTTGTATTTACTCAAGCATTGATGTTTGATTGTTTCAAGGGTCCCAAATCAGATGAATCTCCCGCAACTAGCACTGGAGGCTCGGGATCTGTAGCTGATGCTAAGCCGAATGTTGGGCAGTCGTCCTCAGCTTCTGACGAGGCAGCTGACAGAGATAAAGTTGCTTGCCTTGTAGGTATTGTTGCCTTTCCTGCTGGCTATGTGTGGTATCGGCTTCAAAAGAAGAAACAACCTGAGGAGGTCCACGATTGAGAGAACTAACATCAAACTGACTGCCTTGTTAACCGAAATATATATACATATAAGAAGAAAAAAAAAAAAAAAAAATTGAACAAGAAACAATATGTAGAGCTCATTATTCTGGCTGCAGTCCTCTTATTTTGTCTTAATGGGATGGCCCCTTTGTATAAAGCTCAACTTGTTTACCTGTGGATGTTGGAAAGCGCTTGATAATTTTTGTTGGGGCACTTTGTAGAGAGAATGAGTTCACTTTGGTTTTGCTCGTTTTATTTGGTAAATTTCTGTCCTTGTCGGGATTTTTTTACTATTGTATCACACTCGCACACGCCAACATGCATTGATGCAATGGTGAAAAACCCGATAAAGGCACTGTATGCTTTTTTCGTGTTACTTGTTCCGAACCTGATGGTTGTTTTGATGACTAACATGTTTGTGCAGAACTCAAAACCTAATGTTTTGATGACAAAAACGATAGTATTTTCGTAACAATATGGTTTTACGGTCCTTAAAATATTGATTGTATCATATTTATTTCATTCATAGATTGGAAAATTTCAGAAAAAAACAGTACACATAAAGGAAAAATTGTACGAAAATAGTCGAATACCGTAATTGCTTCCAATAGTTACAAATTTCAGCTATGTAACTGGGCAGCATATAATATTGTGTTAAGAGGTATATAGTCCTATAATTCCAAGATATCTGTGCAAATTCTCCATTAATGTTTTTGATATATCGTCCTCCTAGTTTTATGGAGGACAAGAGGTTAATAAGGGCATGCAATGTACCACCAAAACATACACACCTACACAACCACCCGTAATGTGAAACATCCCTTATTTAGCTACCAACTTATACTTTAGAGGCACCCCTTAAAGCACCCTTCCTAATAAATAGTTCCAATCTTCTTAGGACTTCATCAAATAGACCCTTTTTTTTATTCTTATTTTTTTTCATGCCCTTCCCATGTATCCCTCTCCTTCAATAAAAACACACATTTCCACATTCTTCATCACCCAAATCAAAGCATTCTTCTTCCAAAATTTCTCTTTGAATAAGTAAAAAGAAGAAGAATATTGTTCTTCATGTCTTCTCATCCATTTCTCACCATCCTTGAAAAAAAGAGTAACCACAAAAGCATCAAACCATGGCAAACTGTGGTGGCCAAGAACAACACATGAACCTTGACAGCTCATTGTGCCAAAAAAGTCCATGTGAAAAACAAATCAGCCCCACCAACACCTTTGATATGGAAACCTTCTCGCAAATCAATCATCTCCGCACTTTCTCCGGCTCCACTTTTCCTCTCCCGACATCATCAAGATCGACCGACACAAACGCCATCCGCGATGGATTCAGCCTCCCGCCACAGCATCACATCCCCAACGGGCACAAGAAGCAGTACAGGCACAGCGACAGCTTTTCGTCCGTGAATTCGGATAATCATTCGACATGCACAGAGGGGCTGGGGCTCGAGAGCTTCAATGACGTCGACGAGTTTTTCAAAAATGAAATCTTTAGTAGGGATAACAACAATACTCGCAATCGGAAATTGCGAGAGACTCGAGGTCTCACGAGAAACGAGTTGAAAAGATCGAGAAGCTGCGGCATGGGCGAACTCCCGCCTCCAATCTCTTGTATAGGCAAATGTGGGAAGCCGTTTGTGAGCTTCAAGTCATTCAGGCAAGACGGGAGGTTCGTTCTTAAGGAGATAAGGATCCCGGAATTACTGCACGTGTGCCGTGAAAACGGACGGTTGAAATTGCAGTTCATCCAGTCTGATGACGACGACGACGATGATGATGCTATCGATGGTGATGGGAAAGAGAAAAATGTCGAAAAGATATAGGGAAAAAGAAAATGATGATGAAGGGTGATTTAGAGAGAGGGGGTTGGTAAAAGATAATGAGAAGGGCAAGTGAAAAATACAAAAAAGATCAAATATAATGTGTAAAGTATGGAGTGGTCTGAGGTTGTATAGAAAAACAAGTCTCCTGGGTAATTCATAATATCTAAGTAGGAAAAAATTCCAGTTATTGTGCACAAGTTTTTTTGAATAGCACACTTTGAGCTATATATGTTTGTCCTCTTAATGCAAATAAGACTAAAAGAGGATGAAGGTCTTTGAGATTTCCTTTGGAAACAAAAAAGGGCTTCTGGGATACTTATGTAACTTTAGTTCCTCACCTACTCACCTTCAGTTACCATGTATATATTGGTTTATGGGTGATGAGTGTTGAATATGATCTGTGCAGTTTCGTTTCGTTGAGTCGTTCACACGGCATATGATATTATATGAGATTCTGCTATTCCTTCCATGTTTTGTTTTTTGTATTCCTATAGAATAGTGTTTATACAATCAGAAAAGGAAGAAGGAACATGAAAAAAAAAAAAAAAAAAAGGAAAGAGTAAACTAGAAATGTAACATGTCTATACATCCTTCTTAATGGTGAAGCAAACACAAGCCAAAAGTCATGCGTGATACTGGAAGATATGAATATCCTGACTTTTGATTCTCAATATAGTAGAATAATTAACAGAAAATATGCACACAGTTGCCCAAAAATGATCAACAAATGAACCAAGAGTTTATTCAAATAAGCAAAACAAACGAAAGTGTGAACACACATTTTCAAATTCACGTGGTGATGCGGGGAGGCTCGCAGGCGCTACCCAACACTCACGTGCAGACGACGTCGCTCAACGCTCACGCACCCTCATCTCCACGCCCGTGTGCCCTGTCTACAGCCAACTGACCCCCAGCGCCTCTGCGCAATGCACTGCAGCGCCACAGCTTCGCGCCAGTGCGCCATTGCCAGCCGATGATGCTCTGCTCCCGACAGCGCCCTCCTCCTGCCACAACCGCCCGCGCCTGCCTCCGAGACCGAGCCAATACCAGCAGCCGGCAACGCACCAGCGCGCGCCAGCGTCCGAGATAGCACCAGCACGACCAGCGTGCGTGCTTAGCCAGCCCAGTCGAGGCTCAGCCTTGTGCGCCCCCGAACAGTGAATCGAGCCGCAGCAGCCGATCGACCTGCGAGTAATGATGTGTGTGCATTGTGTGGTGCGGAGTCGGAGACGTTAGTTCATGCACTTCGTGATTGCTCTCATGCACGCTTAGTCTGGGATCGTCTGAAGCCTCAGAGTTTTATGGTTTGTCTTTTAATCAGTGGTTATTAACAAATCGTTTTAATGGTTTGGGAATACAAAGTGATCAATGGGCCTGTTGGTTTGGAGTGGCTTCTTGGAAGATTTGGCATGCTTGTAATATGAAGATTTTTCAAGGGAAGGTCTGTACAAAGTACAGTTGACGTGAAGCTGCAGGAAACTACGAAGGTTGTTGTGGGCATCGAGGCTGCTATTTCGTCGAATAGGAGACTGGGAGGAACAGGTTTTGTGAGAGAATGACAACTCATCAAATGGGTGCCTCCGGAGTCCGGCTGGTGGAAAGTCAACTCTGATGGAACGTTTGATAAATTGTCGGGTTTAGCCGCAGCGGGAGGTCTTATTCGCGA